CAGCATATACGATGACAGAATATTAAGGCATAAAGTCAACGGGCGATTCTATAATAACGGTTTAGGAAAATGGAATAATCTCTCCCTCCTCGCCCATTTAATATTGCATAGCATTGAAATTTCACACTTTTATCAGTAATTTGGTTTTTTGATCGCAATTTTCCAATAAATTCATCTAAATTTTATAAAAATATTAATTGTCACTGGCAAGTTTTATTTATATTATAAAGGAGTACCAAAACAAACAACCAGCACCGCTTGGTGTTTTGTCACTGTTACTTAATCTCGCAGCATAGAAATTGTTTCCCGCCTATGTTCGAATAGTTTTTGCCAAAGGAAAAGAATAATTAGACAATTAAGAGGTTAGGTGCTAACAAGAACTTGAACTTGTTCTCCGTATTTCCTTCGAGCGGTATGGGTTCCAATATTCGCTTTAAGGCCAATAAAGTCTTTATAGTTACGAATAAGGAAATACCAGGGTAGAAATTCTTCTTCAAAATTCTTATTCTAGGAAACACTTCAACTCTTAATTTCAATATAAGATAACTTAAAGTCCTTGGTTCGCTTTCCTTACGCTTTCTCACCGCAACATTATCTTTTATTGAATTGTATTTTTTAATATTTTAATATTTTCTATGAAACGCGTAGTAAAATATTATTTTGAAATCTTTCATCATTCATATGGAAAACTGAAATTAAAAATACGAAAAGAAAAAATATTACAATTACTATGTAACGCAAATCAAAACAAAGCCACAAGAACAACAACAACAACAATAAAATCAAAAGTGACTAGAAAAACATGTCATGAAGGAATAGAAATTGTAGACACAGCGACAAAAGGACCGAATTCGTGGCTTTTCTGTTTCTGTTTCTATTTCTGGTTTTTTTTTTGCGTTCCCTACACCACTTGTACTACAAGATATGTTTGTGCGGACGTATGTAATACCCAATGGGGCTTAAGGTAGACCCATCTTTTATTGTACCGACGTAACCTTGCCTGTGTGTCTGTCTATTCCCCTGATATTGTTCGCGCTTAACCTAGAAGTCGCAAATTTTCGAAATATTTTGATGGAATGTAATACAGTGATGTGCTGTGACTCAAGGACGAACTCTATTGAAAATGTTCCGGATCGGTCAACTTTTTTGGACCACTTTCCACACAACGCCTTACTTTGGAAAGTCTTTGTATGCGATAAAACTATGAAAACTGAAACTTTATATGTTAAAAAGATTAAATTTTCCAAAAACTTGTCAAAGAAATCAACTTTGCCGCGTTTAGACAGCGTAGGTCTATTTTGTGAGTACGCACGCATGTAAACCCTTACATGTCATAAAGGCCTAATTGGTGATATTTTCATGATGAAAATCTCTTCAATTTATCAATTTGACATAAAAATTAAATGGACCAAATTTGAACCACATGGGCCTATTTCTTGCATCTTGCATCTGCGCATAAGATATCTCATGAATATGGTAAGCCCTTCAGAAAAATGTTTAATTTTTAACGTTTAATGGCAAAAATTGCTCAATAGTAGCAATTTAGCTACAAAATTATGCATAGGGAATTTGGATAAGATAGGTCTATTTTTAAAACCCTAATAGTTACCATAAGAAGCAAGCCCTTACATGGAGAAAGATCTAATTTCTAGTTTCCTATGACGGAAACTAAAAAGCAATAAAACTTTTACGAAATAAATTAAGTTTGCGAAAATTGGATCACGCCATGCAATGCTTTGACCGTCCTCCAATGCACGGACTGTGCATGTCTTTGCATGAAAAAATGTGTAATGTTTACTATATTATTGCCAAACCAATTGAATATATGTACTAGGGAAATTCGCATAGGGTTTCTAAAGGTCGGCCTTGCCATACTATATAATATCGTTAGTTTTTTTTTTCTCCTTTTTAAGCAACTGTAAAAAAGATTTCATATGATTACTAGTAAACATGAATATTAGATGAAACCGAACCATAAACGAAACTGTATACGTTACGAACAGCTCTCCCTCGGTATAAAAGTTTAACTAAGAAAAAGTCTAACAATGGAACAAGGTGTTCTTTATGCACGACATAGAGTAAAAAACACGAAAGAAAAAATTCGGTAACATTTTTCTTGTCCTTTGTAAGGATAGAATAATACACAAAGCCGAAATCATGTACATGCATATATTAAAAGAGGGAATGAAAGAAAAAAAAAATAAACTGTGAAGAACGCGCTTGCTATCATTATTATTGCTATGTTATGATAGAAAGAAATGACAAAACACATGAAATAAAATACTTTGAAAAATTATTAAATTCATCTCGAAAGAGAAGGGAGGGAGACGAGCAAAGAAAAAGGATAAAGTTTGATTTAAAAAATTATTTCATATATTCAACACCTTTTTTTTTCTCTTCTTTTATTATCGTTTGGCTTGGCTTTAACTAAAGCAAAAATTTAAATTTTCTGCAGCATTTTCTCGCTTGAACAAAATCTGCTTAGCGATGTAGCAGAAAAAAGGCGTCAAGCAAAAAAACCTACGCCAAAAAACAAAAAAAAAAGAACACAGCAAAAAGAAAAGGACCGCAGACACATTGTTGACAAGACATAATGTCAACAAGCGGTTTAACATTAATTTGTCGCATTTTTGGTTACAGACGCTGCCAGACGCCGAACCATATCTGTCGAGGTGAATATATACTCACGACATTTCTTCCTTTTTTTATTTTAACGTCGAAAGCATTTCTTTTCGCATTTTATTTTTTTTTGTTTTTTTTTTTAATTTCTTAAGCAAAAATTTAACAAAAAACTCCCCGGGGAAGTTGGCTTTCGCCCTCCGCGCTTTGTGTGAGACAAACTGCAGTGAATGCATATAGAGTTGCAGTCGAAATTGTTTTATTTTATTGTCTCGAAAAGAAATGAATGTTTTTTCTCTCTTTCGTTTTTTTTTTTTTTTGCTTTTGTAGCTTACTGTGCCTTAATTGAATTTTACTCTCAATTGGTAAATAAGAAAATTGAAAGATTTAAAAGGGGGACTAGAAGAGAAAAAACAAATAAACGACAACTCTCGACAGACAACTACTGCTTCTCGGTAACCGACATCGCAAATCATTTGCTCTTCAGAACACTAGATGAAAAATGGCAAATTATATCGACATTATATTTGAGGTTTACTACAATGGTCAAAAATACGATAGTTGTGGAACGATATGGGTTGAATTTTTAACGAAATAGTTTCAAAGATGCAGTGGTCGGCTCGTTACCATGATGCAAAAACCAAGCTAAGACCTGGAGAAAAGGTTTCTGTGTTCATTTTTGCTCTCATCAGCAAACATAACGTCATTTCACTACGAATTGTGCGTTTTCCCTGGCATATTCTAGTCTTAGGTTCCTATTACGTTCTTGCATCAACGGCTTACGGCGCGCACGGCAATGGTCATGTTATAGTTTCGTATGCATTGGACCAACGGAGTCGGAAAATTTCCGTTTATGGATGGCACTCTAAACAAGGCGCGTGACTTTAAACGGACTTGGTTTTTTAGGAAAATTTCAATTTTAGCTTAAGTCCCGCTTAATTCAAAAATGGCTGTTATATAACTGCTTCACACTCTTCTCCAATCGCCAGGCATGAACTCCATCAAAACCATATGGGCTGAGTGAGACCGGCGTACACGAAGACACTCAAGCTCCTCCGCCCAAGACACAAAAAATTGATTACAAGAAGAATGAAGTAAGATCCCTGTTTCCAATGCAAGAAAAATTATGCAAAATATGTCAAAATGTTTAAATGACACTATTAAACGAGAAGGATACCACACCGAATATTTATATTTAGTAATATGCCGTTTTTTCCTTCGTATCCTTCTTTATATGAACAAAACCCAATGCTAATAACACTATGTTTTTTGATTTGTTGAAATTATATAATTTTCTTATCTGCTGGAACAATGTTCCCTTACTACATATTCTAATATGTATTCTCTAGTAGCACAAAAGCGTTTAAAAAAATTGCTCTGTTTGGACAATGGAATAGGTTTTATTAAGGAGACTCACCGTAACTGGTGATGGCTTATAGTTGCAATAAAAGAATTCTCATCATTTTGATAAGATAAACCTGTATTTTCTTGGCAGAAATTACGGTTGAACATTTCCGTACCTGGGACAATGACCGGATGTATCGGAATTGTCAAAAGATTTCGAGGAACCAGTTTATAATTTACAATACTATCTATCTAATACTAAAAGTAAGGTTAAGAGCACAATACAACACTGACAACGGATTAATCAATCCCCTTTGTAGGATGTTAATACAAACAGGCAGAAATCTCATATTGTAGACGGGCAAGTATTACTTTCTCATTGATATTCCTAAAAAAAATATCTAAAAATGATATGGATCAAATACCACCTTATGAGGGATTGAGGGAGTAGCATGAACATATCGATGAACATATGAAAAAGATTTAGGTAAGCATTGAGAAGTTTATCGCATAGGCGAAGTGATAACAATGATTGTAAGAAATCTTGCCACAAATGTGCAGAACGGATCATTTGACCCGCCGCGGTAAGTCAAGTGTTAACAATCAATCATAATCAACAATTCACGCAATCGTTTCATTTATATTATCTACGCTTCAGATCTTTAAATGCTTGCTCGATCGTAAAGCGGTGAAGCTTTCAACATTTGATTAATTAAACACTCCTTAGTTTTGTGCTAAATGGAATGCAATATCAAAGCAAAAGCTGAGGTCATCTAATTGATTGCAGCGGATTGATTGATTTTATAAATGGATATAAATATCCTAAGAGATAAGATAAAATTCTCGTGAAAATAAAATTCTAAGCGCACCTTCAAATTGTGGAAATTGTAACGAAAAAATTGTTAGTAAAATATTATAACAGGTGCGTAAGGTAAACACAATGCTTGTGAAACAGAAATTGGGTAAATGAAGCGGCGAGAGGTTCTTCTTATCTTATCTAATCTAATTGTGGAACTTAAGGTACGCAGAGAACTTATATCAATCGACATACGAGAACGGGTTACTGCTGGTCGAACGTCAGTATGAATTTTCCAACAGATGTGTGAAGTGAGTAAACCAATTAAAGCGGTAAACTTAGGAAAAGAGATGAATGATAGAAAAAGAAATGTTTTTTTTTTCAAAGTGAACTTATAAACAAAATAGATTAAAAAGAAGAGTTTCGCAAAAGCAAAAATAATTCATTGTGAATACGTAAATGATATCAAACTGTTACTAATATCGTAAATAAGTGAAAATGGAAAGAAAATTCAAAATTTTCAAAAATTATTCAACTAAAAATGAGAAAAAAGTCTTGGAGAACTTTTGTGGGAAATATATATTTTTTTCTGATTCTTTTAATATGTGAACTAAATGAATGAATGACTAAGAAATCAAAAAACTTGTAGTTATTATTGGAGTTATCTTATCTGCGATTTTCAAAAATCTCTCTGTATTGTTGGGATTGGAGACATTTTATACGCAATAACACAACAAAGTTGAAATAATAACAAAAACACTATGTTAGCTTTAGAGTATACAACAACAATGAACGTCCATCTCTCTATTAATGATCAACCTATCGGTAGCCGGGTGGTTATTATTTCTAGATAATATTTTGAAAGAGCCTTGATGAATAAATTCATGTTGAACTCAAATTCGTCATTACTCAATATATTTAAATATTGAATTTGTTTATCCGTTGTTGCCTCAGACCTATGTTATCATTAAAATGGTTGAAGTTATCAGCAAAGTCTTTCACGCTTTATCGGTGAAAATAGACGGAATACTAAATTAAAAAGCCATAAGCAGTGTGACATATTATAGTTAATGCCCGGAGACATAAACCTCAATCATTCTAATATAATATCAAAAGAAAGCCAGTAAGAAATATTATATTCGGCCGTGATCGAAACTTTCACACACATCACCGCTTAATGGTGATGATTAATATGTAGATTTTATAATGGACCTGAAGATTCTTTCTGTGCTTCTTGGGTGCTGCAAACGTTTCGTTAAAGTAATAAAATTTTACTATTCTATAACATTGAACAGACGAGTTGATTTTTAAGCAGACCTGAATAAATTTAGCAAAAGGCAAATAAAGTTTTTTTATACCGTTAAGATTAATAAAACTTTCTCTCTTCGTTAATGTCGTTGATGAAGCGTTTGGCCTAGAAGGGTCTTTTAAGGGTAATCCAGGGAAATTTAATTTTCCTGAATCGCCGAGAACGCAATGGATCTCGACTAACGACACATCGGTCATGGACTCAAGTCTCAAGTGAGATAAAATTTTCAATAAATCCGACAGCCTTAGTTGGATAGTGCTTTAAGACTTTAGTCTTAAAATTTATTTCCATGGCCAAACTAACAAGAATACAAAAAAATAATAAAATAAGTAAAATGGACTGACATAGAAAAGACGCTTAATGGCGACGAGTAGAATCAACTGCACTCTTTGAACTATATTATATAATTTTCTTTAGCCCATACAACAAAACGCCTCTTTGACTTCATCTTAGGTTAACCTTTCTTGTTTGTGACATAACTCTATTTAAAACTTTCTACATATTTCGCTCGTCTCGTTTAAAATGTCAAAGGATCTTGTAGACTAGTTGAAAGAATCCTAGGAATAAAGAAGACATCTTCGCCCATTTTTATAGCCTACACCAACTGTCGTAGAACGTATATGAACTTTGCGTTGACGCATATAACACACCTTTTATTTCTAAGTCTGTCTAACAGCCAGTTCGTCGGACGTGCCTCCATGCACCTTTGTGATCAGAGCTAGTTTTATGGAGAAATTTAAAAAGTTACATTTTTTTCCCGTATAACTTTTCGAAATGGGATATTATATAGCGAGTGGTCGAAAAAATGGCCCGATGTGAACTATTTTCAATAGCATTCATCCTTGGGCTAAAGTACATCTGTGTAGCAAATTTCGTCAAAATGTCTCAAAAGTTGCGAGGCGCAGGTTGAACACGAATTTGCAGACATCAGGCTGGCAGACAGACAGACAGACAGACGAGCAGACAGACTCAGATCGATTTAGAAAATGCTTCTGGATATAACGGAGAATAATAAAAAGTAGGTCTATCGTAAGCCCTTCTTGGCGTTACATACGTCCGCGCTAACTTAATATACCACGTATCACAAGTGTCGTAGGGTACAAAAAGATATCATATTCACTATTTCATAATAGTAAGTTGCCATAGAAATCATCCTTTCTGTATTCGGATCACTTAGGTCCATATTTTGGATACCAACACATATAAGGATTCCTCCAATGTGCCGGCGTTCGCGTCACGCCTTTGCATGAAAATAATTTGTACCTTTTGATGTATTGTCACCACAACTTGTGTTAACTACATTAGACGAAGTGGTGTGGGTTATCTAATAGTAGGCCTTGCAAGGCAATAGTGCTCTTACTTGTTGCGGTTCGCTTACAGTGTGGAAAGACAGAAATTTACAGAAGTTTTCAAAGATCAAAGCAAATCTCCTTTTATTCATGACAAATTTTCGAAAAAAAACTTTTCTTAGATAATCAATAAGTTTTCATAGCTGACTAGCTATCAACAGATAAAAGCGAGGACGTCATAACTATGACATCATTATCTATTGCCAATAACGAACTCACTATTTTATGAGTCAGCGAGCACATGCAAGTGCAATAAACTTATGCAGATATATAAAATTTTTTCAATTGCAATTTTTCATTACAGGAAAACTTTCAACGAACGATTAGTTTCCGAAATATTAATGATGTTCTATTGCCCGCCTCCGTTGACTCAAGCGGCGCTCGGCGTTTTCGTAGTATTGTATCTAACATCTTTACATACGCAAGCTCAGGAGAATGCTCAATTACAAATACCTCCTTCGCTGGTAGAATGTTACAATGATTCCCATTTTATGAACCGAGATAATCGTCTACCCGCCAATATTGAGACATTCATAAATTTGATTGAGAAAGTTGAAAACTCGTACGCTTTTAATCAAGATATACGGCAGTTAGCTGTCTCCTTATTGCACCGTTTCCGTCAGGATGGTATACAGCGGGCCCCGGGAGTTATGCGGACGGTCGGTGTTTTACCTTTTAGCCCAACGGGATTTCAGTTTCCGAAATTTCGAATTTTATTATCTCGTCTAATCCCGGGTGACGCGATGCGTTTTCCTAACGATACTCTGACTAGAGAAGAACGTTGCTCGTTGCATTTCATGTTGTCCAGTTCAGTTGATATGCAAATGCGTGGTGATGAGCATCAAGTATGCAATAAGTTAGCACAATACCGAGCCCAACGTTTACCACGTAGCGCGCAGCACAAGCCAAAAAACAGTTTTGTAGGAGACGTGGAAACGATCGACAATTTCAAGTTTAATGGTTCAAAACGGAAGACTTCGCATATACGCACGAATGCCAAAGACCAGGAATACGACTTTGGTTGGGCGGAAACTGATTTTGGCGTTTCGCATGATAATGACATAAGTCATTGCCCGGTAGAGAATGGTGTTATACACACAGATTGGGGAACAGTAGCCACAGGTACGCTAGTAGCTGGTATAGCGGCAGGTTTGCAACCTCAAACTGTGCAGCTGAAAACGCTATTAGCTCTGGCATCTCGCCGACCCGGTTCAGGACAAAGTCTACCACAAACAGCGACTGTCAACGTTGACAATCGTTGGGCTGCAACTTTGGCTGGGGACCTAGCCGAAGTAGCTTTAATACAAATGCCCATGACTGGCAGTGATACAGCATCCATTGGAGCTGATGGGGCCTGGAATAGCACAGTTATGCCGCGATGGTATTTCCTTTCACAACGTCACAATGTGGAGATGACAGATGCCGAGATACGCGGTGGTTTGGATGGACTTATCATAGCCATGAATATAGCCAATTGGCGTACGCAGGCTCCCAACCTGAAGCTATCCCAACTGCTACGTATGTACTATTCAATGGATAGGGTATTGGGCAGCAACATCATGGCATGTAATCGTAAAGAAAATTTCCCTATTTATGCTCCGTTAAACATCATGACAGCACAGACTAGTGCTTTTGCTCAGGTATTGGATCGAGAAATTCAGCTTAAAGTAACATTGACACCCGAAGCTATAGCACAATTTTCAACCGGAGCGTCCAATTCTTTGACTTCATATATACGTAAGTATATAACTCTCAATATCATGAGCAAAAATTCTTTCTCTGTGTGGGGATAGACACTAAACCACGGTAATTTGTCTATTTGCCCGATTTCAACACACGATCCATAGGTGTATCTTATTCAAAACAAGAAAAAAAACTTCTAAAACTGAAAAACGAAAGAACTTGGTGTATTCGGCACTCTAGGCTATTGACGTCATTGGTTCACAAGTTAGTGACTTTACGAACGGAATTCAGATTTTCAGGTTAGCATCACAACAACAAAAGAAGGACGTAAAGGATCGAATTACGCATTTTTGATGTCAAGAAATTGCTCCAAAACACCCAGATGTGTTTTTTTGTGTTTAATGGTAGCTGTGAATGGCTCATGAAAAGATATCTTCGTAATTTGCAATCGACAAGTTGATACCCCTGTCAGAGAAGCCTGCCGATCGCGTACCAATAGGAATTGAGGGAGATGTCTAGAAGGTGAATATTCCTGCAATAAATTTCTACCGGCGTAAATTTCACTTTCCACCCAACAATGCCCTTCTTCGACATGTTAGATAAGCGTGCAGACAGGAAAATACCAAGGAACTCGAACTTGTGGACCGCCCCTTGTTTCCAGTTAATTACTAGGATTCTTGGCTCGATCATGTTTCTTTATATCGCACATTATTTCCTCCCAGAGTTAGAGGAGAAATATTTTAGGTCCAAGCCCATTTTCTTTCTTTAGGCCTTTACAACTGCGCATTATTCGTCACGTACTTTGCCTCGAGAAACGGTTGCACGATGGGCGCTCTTGTGCTCACACGCTTTAATACTCTTCTGTCTCAACCTTTTTTTTTATTTTTGCATATTTTTTAGCTCAATATTTGAGTGATATTTCTTGTTCGGTAAGCAGTGCGTTGCCGCAAGACATCACCGACTCGATAACAACCATGACAAATATTTACGTATACCTTGACATGTCTTGGCCGTATGAAGATGTAGTGGATTACGTAAAGTAAGTCTTCCGATTTTAAAGGAAATTGTGTGAAAACTAGTCGGTTCATTATTTTCCTTTCATTTTTCAGTTACATTTTAAAAGATCTAAACGTTAATGCTTATGCGAGTTCAGTAACACTTCTGGCGGCCGCAGACGGTTCTACTATCGTTAATACGACACACTTCCTTAGCGATGTATTTCAGATGTGGAATGCTTCCACTCACCGTCAATGTAAGCTTTCCTAGGAACTTTCTTATCTTCCCCAATCTTTCTAAATAATCTTTAAATATTTAGTTAGTCCCGGCTTTAGTTTACCTGAATCTTTGCGATCTTTGGAAAAGCTCACGAAGTCATATATGCAAGAAGAAAAGAAAAATTCTTCGGTGAGCGGTTATTCTATGATCGCCCTAATGATGCCTTATATGGTTACAATAACTGATGCGGACTCCAACTATGCTACGACACAACTGCAATACATGTTTGAGCAAATACCGGATTTATATTTTATTTATTACGCGGGAGGTACAATTAATCGTTTTGCAGCCTTTGTCAAAAATCCAGCACAGGATTTGTACGCATTAAATATAGGTACGGACATAGCCAGTTCGGCAGACCCCGTATTAAGACGCATTAAGAAGAGTAAGTCCGTTATAAGCAAAAAAAGGATTTTATTAAGAACAACAATTCATGTCAGTTTAATTTTCAGTACCACGTCGTATCATAAATCCCCGTTGCGGCAGCGATTGGTATACCTCTACCTGGGGTACAGATCAAATGTCTCAGTACGCTCGACCAGGAGTTATAAATTTCTATCGTTTAGCTTCTAACTACTTCTACGGGTCGAATGCAGGACGTTTCGTTAAAATTCAAGGGCAAAATTATTTAGAATTTACTGTATGCACGTCACGTTGGGTGCGTTGGCCGCAACAAAATTTAACAAACCCCGAAGGAGAGCAATCTTGCCGAACGGTTCAGAGTAATGCTTTTACATATGACTTAACCGATGCCTGCAAAGATTATCCCACCATTCATCAGTGCCCGCCATTATATCTATCGGTTCAAGCGGCCGAAGCAAAAACCGGCAAAGCGCAAACTGTCTCCTGTACTGAACCAGCTTGTCAGACTCCCGATCAGGTTCGTTATGTGATCGCGGTGGAAAGTTTAGGTTGCTTCAGCGACGGCAAGCGCTTAGTCGGGAACTTTTTCATGTTAATCGTGATTTCTATTCTGAGACAAATCTTAAGTGGGCCAAGAAATTGACATTCAACTCTCGAGTTGAGAAATTTTTAAAACTTGGAAGTCAAGAGGTCCTGTTTAATGCGAAATGAAACTATTTTGAAAAGACAAAGTTTTCTAAATCCTTCCGAAGATTCACAGCACTTTATAACAAATGGCAAAGTTTGGGCCCTCCCCGTCAAGTTTTCATCTATATTTTAATTATTTTTATTTGATTTTATTCTAAGCCGTTTTATTTTTCTAAAATTTTAAGTTAAGTTTTGTCCTCTTTTTCACTTAATAAAGTCTTCATAAAATTTCAAAATATTGGAATTTTCTAATCGATCCGTTTCTGCTTATTTCTACGACACAGAGAAAGAATTGTTTTCCTCTTAGGGTCAGTTAAAAGTTTTTATATACATTTTTTTCTAAAATTTCGAAAAAAAAACCTCCGCAACAGCTTTAATGGATCGAAGGCTCGACTGTTTGAAGCCATCTGAAGACATCTTCACTAGAACTTCTATACTAACGGATCTCTACATATTCTTAGACACCGCTTGGTCTTACCAAATTGTGGAGAACTATGTGAAGTAAGAAACTTTTACGGAAAATGTGTTTTTTTTTAATTTTTTTTTTTTTACCTCTAGTTACGTAGTGCAACGTATGAATATTCGGCCTTATGGCAGTTCGGTTACTTTGCTTACGGCTTCCGGTGCTTCGTTATTAGCTAATCAGTCTTATTCTATAATAGACTTTTTTAAGCAATGGAACTTTGAGACCCACTCCCAAGGTAAGTCAAATGACTTCCATGAAAGAAATATTCATTTTAACAAAATTTATTTAAGCAGCAAAGCCAGGTTTCAGTTTACCCACAATATTAAGCAAAGCCACGGAACTCACTCATGGCTTATTTGAAATCGAAAGTAAACGAAATTCCTTAGGCTTACGCTCATTAATTATGCTTTTAATGCCCAGTCCTTTGGCTTATGTAAACGAGCATGATTTCGATTATTGTCAAAGATATCTGGATTTCCTTTATAGGACCAAGCCAGACATAAATTTCATTTACTATTCGGGCGGAGTTTTAGTGCGCTTTAAAAGTTATGTCAAAGATCCTAGAACTGATCTGTTTCTGCTTGACTCGGAAAGAGATGTCGAAGTTTCTTCATTGCCTGTAGTACAAAGAATCAAAAACGGTACAAAATTTCTTTGACTATTTTGTATAAAAAATATATATAATAAATTCTTACTCCCTTTACAGAGCCCCGACGTATAACAAGCCCCTGTTCCATGCATTTCAACGGCTCTCGCCATCATCAGCAACAAGTTAAGCAATATTTACCCCTGGGGTTTGTAAATTTTTATAAAATAGCGGCCAACAATTTTTTCACCCCGGGTTATATGCGTTATATCAAAATTAAAGCCTTGAGTCGTACAGCTTTCGTAATATGCACTTCAAGGAGGAATTCGTGGCCATATCGCAACACAATCTCTAGTTCTCCGTCTACGGAGCAAGAGTGTCTACAGGTTTCCAATAATGTCTTCAGTTATGATTTAACCGACCTTTGCTTGAGCTATCAAATCAAACATGAATGCCCGCCTTTGTTTTTATCAATACAAGCGCAGGCATTCGCTGATTCCTCTCAGATCATGTGTGAGGAAGAAGAATGCCTTTCTCTACAACAAACTCAATTTTTATTAATAACTAATAACTTGGATTGTTCGAATCAAGGCCAACAATTACTTAAAAGCATTGAATTAATTCTAGTTATAACATTTTTAACAATCAAAAACTTATATAAGTAAGAAAATTATTTCCTGCCTCGACCTAGTCTTTTATGCCCAACATCGTTATCGATCGTACACCGTATCATGACATCTACGATATTCAGTTTAGACTTGAAATACTTAAATTGTCGAGTTCTACTATCAATATCTTTTTAATTGATTATGCTGTTAAGAAAAAAAGGGTTCCTCCACCATATTTACTTTAGAATTAACATATTTTTACACCCATAAAATATATATCTTCTGTGACGAATGTACAAAACAGTTTTCAACACTCTGTCTTGTTTATCCTCCGAGCTATAAGCAGAAAACATCCAAGAGGTGAGAAAAATTATTTATAAATTTATAAAAGCGTTGTCGACTTTATAAAATTTTTGCACTGTGGTGCTGCAGCACCGCCCACAAACCGTACGAGCAAACTTTATCGCTGTAGCTCTTTCGATTTATAAGCAACCAGCAAAAAGCGGAATTGTTTTATTTACCAAAGCGGAGATGATCTCAGATAGTACCGTACCGTAGTCTGTCATGTTCTCTGACCGATTGACGCCATTTCCAATGCCAGGCTGCGTGCAAGAACTTCCAATCTTTCCGCCATATTTAAAACCGATAGTTTCGTTCTTGCGATCAGGAGAGTATTTAAAAATTTATATCAATAAAACATAGGTAATTCAAAATTATATCGCTCAAAAAAAAGTGTGGGTCGATACGAAGATGAAATAATGTCCTTAGTGGATTCCCGGCCTTAGGCGCAAACGACAATAACCAATTTTGACAAGCTCGCAAAATTTTAGGTCTTGCCATGAATTGTTATGACAGTCTACTGAGTTATCGATAAGGTGGAAAGGAATTTCATGTCACTGATGGAGAGTTAATCGAATGTTGTAATAAAGCGGAAGTTACGAT